CACCCACCCCCACCCACCCCCACACCCCCCCCCACCCACCCACCCCCCCCCACCCACCCACCGACCCACCCACCCACCCACCCACCCACCCACCAACCCAACCAACCAACCAACCAACCAACCCACCCAACCAACCAACCAACCAACCAACCAACCAACCACAACAACAACAACCCACAACAACAACCCACAACAACAACAACAACAACCCACAACAACAACAACAACACCAACACCACCAACAACAACAACAACAACAACAACGACGACAACGACAACGACAACGACAACGACAACGACAACGACAACAACCAACAACCAACAACAAACAACAAACAACAAACAACAACAAAAAACAACAACAAACAACAAACAACAAACAACAACAGAAAACAACAACAAACAACAACAAACCACAACAAACAACAACAACAAACGGCAACAAACAACAACAACAACAACAACAATGATTTTTCAATTGAACGCTGCGCGAGCGTGCTCTGCGCATAGCGGGCGCTGGACTTAGCAGACACTCGGTGACACTGTGAAGACATGTCCAAAAATTGCTGTCTCGAATAACTGTAAAAACTCTGCAGTCACTCCTAACTCACTCGAGCTATCATGTTCCTGTACTACCAAGTTGGCCATCGTTGGAGCTAATGCTGGACGGATGTACAACCTCCGACACCCTAAGTGTGTACTGTCGCGTCCGACGCACACGGACCAACGTCTGCCGAGTCGTACCTCTACAAGTTGAGGCCGGGTCTCAAAGTGCCAGTCTAGCGGCGTCCCGCACTTGGTCACTTACAGGCGAAGGCGATGGGCCGTAAGGAGAAAGCTTGCAGCCAGCTCAGCGTACCTGAAGGGGATGCAAGGGCTGCAATGCTGCACGTGTCGTGGCACTCTGTTAGAGACTGCTGAACCTTCTGCCGATCTTTTATGGCTGCTGAGCGAGCAGTGCGAAGTGGTGACGACAACGGCAGCAAGTCTTGCATGACTGAGCTGCAAAAGCATTTGCAAAAATCTGAGTGCTGACCACGGTCTTCAAGAAAGAGCACAGACTGTGTGGTCGGCGCAGCCCAGCACTGGCCAGATCGTGGTGCATGCTGTACGTTTGGGCTGCGCCCTACAGCAGGGAGCTGCGCTCTTCAGGTCTCCCAGTCAGGAGACCAGGGTGTGCGTGCCCAGGAGCTTGAGGCAGGCTGATTGCTCGACTGGCCTCTGTTCCAGGAACTGGAAGACTGCCAATTGCCCCACTCTCCCCAAGCCTCGTCCTCTTGGTCTTCTTGGGCGCTCCAGTGGTGCCACGACGAGCTGTGCTGCCGATGTGAGTCTTCGTTGTCTGCCTCCTGGTTTGTCCAGGAATAGTTCCAGGACTGTTTGTTGGGCCGCCCGTCGCGAGACCTCTTGCTGTCCTTGGAGACCCACTCAATGGCGCGCTTGTGTCTGTCAGAGAGGCCAGTTCGGGGATCGATGTTGGCCTCAGCGTCATGAACAATGCGCACACCAAGCTCCGGATAACGCCTGCGCAACATGCGCGAAGGGAGCTTGGCCTCGATGCAGAAGTGGTTGTATATGGCCATGAGGGTGGTGGAGATCATGTCATAAATCTTCCAGTTGTCGGACTCTGAAAGACTTGCAATGGTGTAGTAGCGTTTGAAGTCATCATGATTCCACATTTTCGCGAACAGAGCCCCAACCAAACCATGCATCTTTGTCGGTCCCTCCAGTTCCTCGTAGTGGGCGCCGTGACCTACGGCCACCGTGACTTTGCCCTCCTTCGTGAGAACTTGCCGAACGGTAAGAATGCGTTCCCACATGAGGCCTTTGTCCGTTCTGACCTTTGTGATGGCCTTGAAGAGAGCTGGAACCATCGAAATGTCGCGGACCCTTCTTGACCAGAGCGGACGCTGTTCCAGGTGATCCAGGCCTCCCAAGACAACTGGAGAGCCAAGAACCTGAAAGTTCGCCAGAGATCGGATCCAGCTCTGAGTCGGGGCTGACTGTAATTCTTGCAGAATGCCTTCCTTGGTCAGGGGGATCTCCGCATAATCGGCGATCTGCGAAAGGTACGACATTTGTTGAGCGCTGTCGCGAGGTGGTTCGTACTGTGGAGGGGGAGGCGGAGGGGTTTCCGGTGTCTCTTCCTCTTCGTCGGCCGACCTTGGAGACCCAGGCAACGCTTCTTCTTGGGGGTCCTCAGAGCCTGCAGAGGCAGAGGGGGGAGGGAAGGGCGGGGGCTGCGGGCGACGGCTTGAAACTGGGATGGGGGTGGGAGGAGCGCAACCGCCAGGCACAATGGGTGCCGCTGCTTGAGCTGGTCTTGGAAAGGCCGAGGGTTTGGGGGAAGGGGCCGGCGGGGATGACGGCTCTGCTGGACGGACTGCGCACGGTGGAGGGCCTTGGATTTTGGTGGAGGTGGGATCTAGCAACGGGGTCGGAGACGGGCTGCTGAGGCGGGGGCGCGGCCTGTGGCTCTCTCACGTCGTGACGAGCGCGCATGAAATGGTTCCGCAGGCCGTTGCCCGTAGGGAAAATCTTGTGCTGGGTGATCTGGTTCTTGCTTTTGCAGAAGGAGCAACAAAGATAACCAGGATGGTCAGAAGAAAGGGCAAGGCCTCGTGGGATCAATTCCAGGACGTCGTGCTCGTTGAGGTCGCGATTATAGTACTTTGACTCCCTGACCACTTCCATGATCCGAGCAAAGGAGTTGTCCTGAATGCTGCTCTCCACATGTGCCACAATGTCCTTGGAGGTGGGCATCAGAAAGTCTGATGAGCCCCCTCCTTCCGCATTTGGCTGTGAAGGCTGAGCCTTGGCGAGGGGGCTGCGCCCTTCCGCAAGTGAAGATTCCGAAGTCAAGGCAGGAGCCTCCTGGACCAGCTTCATCTCAGCTACCACGACCGGGGACGCTCGAAAGCAGCGCCTGACCCGTGCGTTCCTTTGTGGATGGGTCTTGTGGGAAGCCTTGACTCCAGCCCCAGCACCTGGTGAAGGCCACGACCGTGTTGTCAGCAGTGACGAAGTAGTGCCCGTCGTTCTGCACGGGGGCCTTGTGCTTGTACTTGTTGTACTCCTGGAACAGGTAGATGGGACCATACGTTGGGCTGAGGTTCCAGCCCACCCCGGCCGACTTTGCATGTCCCTGTGGAGGGTGTTGTAGAGGAACTTGCAAAAGATCATGTACTCGACGCTGGCCACCTTCATGAAGACATTGCCGCCGAAGGCGTGCTGGATGGCCGCGCGTATCAAAGGGTGATACGGCCTGCCGTGGATGATGCCCTGGAAAATGTGGTCTTGCTTGAAGCCTATCGCCATAACCAGCCTCTCGTCCGCTGGGTGGCCTGGTGACGACGGATTGAATCCTAAGGCTTCAGCCTGTTGCACCTGGGCTGCGCCCCATTCGCTTTCCATCCTTGCCTCGACTTCGGCCCACGGCAAGATGAACGCAAGCTTGATGTCGAGGTAGAGGCCACCATGCTGGTAGTGGTAGATGTAGCGAAAGACATCTGCTCTGTGGGCGGGACGCTTCAGCTTAGCGAGAAGCTCCAGACCGTAAGAGCCCGCCCAGTCTTCGACAGTTTGGCGGAGGACTTCGTCATTGCAGAACGTACGCTTGAACTGCGAGAACATCTGAGCAGCCATCGCAGGAGGGCCTTCCATGTCATCGTGAATGTATGTTTGAAAGAGGTGGCGAGGGGCAGCCACATCTCTGTCCGGACAGAATTGATACCGCATCGACCACGGCGAATGTGAGTAATGGAGGGCCACGTCTGCGACGTCGAGCATGGTTGCACTGAGTGCTAGAGCGCGGGTCGCCATCATTTCCCTGTGCATGTCAGCTCTGCGTGCATTCCAGTTAGCAACCAGCAAAATGGGAAAATCATGCGGGCGTTGACGCCGCATCTCAGAGATCGCTCGCTGGACAAGGGTCCCAATGGCGATCCGTGCAATTTGCTCCCGGAAGTGCAGATTCTTGCTTCTGTACAGAAAGTCGATCTCATCGAGGTTCTGCAACTTCATCAACTCGTGGCCCGTCAAGTTGTAACGACTGATGCCATACTCTCGCCTAGCCTCGGCCAAGAAATCATATTGGCTTTGGTGCTGAGGGAGAAGCGACTCCTCGATCGGTATGAAGCGGACGTTGACGTTCTGACCGATATGATCTGCCAGTAGTCCTGCCAGGTCATCATCACGGTAGGGCGCCGAGAAGGAGCGGGCACCCATGCATTGGCCAAAATGCCAGTGCAACAGCTCCAAGATGGATGGCGCTCCGGCTGAGCTGTGGTTGATGTTGAGGGCCGCCCCAGGACAGCTCAGCACGAAACCGGAGAAGATCTTGTAGGTGCCATAGGTCCGGTTATGAAGCAGAAACTGCAGTGTGCTGTCGCTGAGGACGAGAAAAGGCTCAGTTGGCTCCATGGCTATGACGCAGGCGACTGCGTCGTCCGGTCCGGGGCTGAGCCCTGCTACAACAGTTGGCGACTTAGCAAGCTAGCGGCGTGACGAGACCTGAAACTCACCGATGTAAAAGTGTGCCTGAGACATGCGTGCTAACGTGCAGCAAGGCGAGCAGAGAGCCTGAACACTCCTCGAGGGCAACTCTGATTTGCACTTGCAACTGCAACTGGCGCAGCTCGTGCATCCCTTGCAAAGCAGGCTGGTCAATGGCGTACCTGGGCAGATGGTGGAGAGCTTCCGCGCCAGCACGCGACCTGCCAGAGACAGCACAACTTGTTTTGAGCAGAGCTACCCAGGCTATCTCTACTGCTTGTCACTGAGCTGAGAGCGCACTTATTGCGTTTTTCCTCCGCGGCGCTGCTCAGTTGTGATAGCCCGGCTTGCAGCCTGCTGGGGCGGGCTGCGCCCTTGGTCAGCGCAAAACTGGAGGCAGGATCGGGCTTGGATGTGCTCCCGTGCTTC